TGTGGCCAGAGCTCTTAGCTGACATAGAAGTGGCCACGAAGGAGGGCTCCCACTTGGGCGACACACCGCTTAGCTGTGCAACACCTGTGCTGTGTGGGTCATGATGACAGTCGCCTAGGTGCTTTTTGGGGAACTGAGGCTGCGTTCGCTGAGGACACTGACTCTCCAGTGTCTTGGGCCCGTGGGCATCAGTGGGACACTGGGACGGCACTTCTGCCTTATTCTGTGTTGTCCTCTTGGCCACTTGACCTTTGGGTCAGATTTCACATTGAACACTTGAGAAACGTCTGTCCAGAGCTCAAATGCAGGGATGCTTGCCTGGTGTCCCGCTCGTCCCCCTTCAGAGCTAAAGACACCAACCAGCCTCCATGACCACAAACACCAGACTCTGAGAGGACTGAATGGAGGTGGCACCGGCTTCCTGGAAGATGTCTGCCTCTTCCCAGGAAGACACAAATGTCCCTCCCCTCTATCAGCCCAGGCCCCCAGTGTTCCTCTCCTGCGTCTGTGACCCCTCAAGTCCCTGCAGTGGGGAAGCTGGTGAGTGAGCCAAGCTCCCTCGGCTCTGTCCTTTGGACCCTCTAGTTGGTTTTTCTGTGGGACTGCGGGATGGGTGGTGGTGGGAGGTGGTGGGGAGTGGGGCGAGGGACTGGGACTCTTCTAGGAAAATGGAACGCAGAGAGAATGTGACCCCCACAGGAGGCCGCCTCACTCCAGAGAGGACGCGGAGCTCCATAGCTATGTCTCTTCTCGCCTTCTGTGTCATCTCCTCTGCAAATCCTGGCTCTGCTGTGCACAGGGCAGGGGCAGATTCAGAATCTCTCTCTCCAGTTTTGACCAAAACTAAATAAATCCACCTTTCACTTCTTTAATCTATCACGTCATATTCTCTCCTCTTTCTCTCTCTCTCTCCTGTCTCTTGGTCTGAAGGTACTGGGGTTAAGGGCCCTGTACTTACTAACTTGCTAGGCAGTTGCTCTACCTCTCGAGCCACACCCCAGTCCCTTTTGCCAGGCTACTTTAGACTGTGGTCCTCCCATCTCTCCGCCCCCAGTAGCTGGGATTACAGGAGTGCACACCATGCATACCTGGCCCCACAGCCAGGCCTTATGGCTAGAGCACTGGTGACAGGATAAGCTTCTCGACCTGGCCCTGTTAACAGACCAACAACTCATGGTCTCCTGTGACACCTGTGGTCAGGTGAGACACAGCCATTAGGGGAGACTACATGAAGGACCCTGGAGACTATCTTTGCAACTTTCTGTGAATCTAAGATTTTAAAAAAGGAGTTTGCAAAATGAGCACCTGGTGACAGATTGGTGCAAATCAGAGGAAACTTGTTTCCAACAAAGAAAGGAGCAAAGCCTGCCTATAGCCAACTCACAATTAAGTGTAAATGGCCACAGACACATGGAGAACCAGTCGCCGAGGGACACCTGCTGATAGGCTGCAAGACTTTAAGATGGAGCTCAAGGGCTGGGGGTGAGGGTGCGGGGTGCCTCTGAGAGAGGGTTTACCTTTCAGGGTATGAATGACACTATTTCTTATTTACTGACTAATTAATAACTGGACACTTCAGATCTCCACCAGCAACCGGTGGCACAGAGAGACTAGGGGCTTTGGGAGGAGGGGTTGGGTCCCTTCTAAAGCTGTCCACCCTCCCCTCCCCCACACAGGGGCTTCATCTGAGTAGTCCTGAGCCAAAGCCCCACCTAGGACTGGAGGACATGAGGGGTGAGGACTTCCAACAGCGAGTGGGGACTTGTGACAGCCACCATGAGCACCGTTTAGCTCCTCACGCTGTGCATTCTGGGGCGGGTTCCTGACACATGGAAGTGGCCTGGGAGTGGCTCACAGGAACGAGAAGAGAGTGCTGCACCAGGTCCTATGAGGAAATGAACCAGTGGGCTTGGCGCCCAGCGTCAGGGTGCTGCTGGGAGCCCTTTGCCAAGGTCAGCAGTCACACCAGCCCTCTGCTCCTCTCCGCAGCTGAGGTGCCTGGAGCCTGAACACATGGCAGTGCCTGTCAGCAGTCACCTGGGTGTCGTAAGGCAGCAGAGTCTACAGAGCCACCACGGGGAGCCTTGCTCCTGTCTCCTCTCCATGTGAGCACGCCCCGCACATCCCATCCTCAGCAATCCTGAGGAGCAGTGCAAACATTCGGCTCCTTTAAGAGTCCCAGAAACGTCTCTGTAATCAGCACCACCAGGTAATTCCAGAACTCAGGCGCCCTGTCTGACAGCCACAGACCTCTCTGGGCCTCTCTGGACAGCCTACCTGCCCTCCCGGCACTGGGCCCTGCTACTCTGCAATGAGAACTGCCAGAGGGCAATCTGGCTCTGTTCAGTGGCAAGAGGCTCCTCTGTGTGGCATGTCCCCGACATTTCAGACAAGAAAATGTCCAGCCCTAACTGCTCAGGACACCCGGGACTCCTGGGGAACCGTCCCTGAGGGCGAAGAGGTCCACCTCCCTCTACTGCAAGCCAATGGCCACACCTTCCCGAGCAACGAGGGCTCCCTGTCCAGGGAACTCATCCTGGGCCATGCTGCTCACAGGCATGTGTGGACAGGAAGCAAGGGCTTACGCCGAAGCTCACTGTCAGCCACCAATCAAGGTGAACCATGGACAGGAGGAAGAGCACGGAAGCCACCCCTGTCTGTGCCACCTCTCCTGGCCACCCCAGCAATCAGCATTAGTCTAGCATATGGGCGAGTGTTGAATGACTGAATGACCGAAAGGAGAGGCGAGCAGACTGTACTTTGGGCCCAATTTCTCCCAGGAATTACCAAGAAGACGTGGCTCCAGTCACACCACAGCGCCTCTGGGCTCGTTTCCAAGTGTGAAATACAAGCATTTGGCTTCCTAAGCTAGAGGGTCCCTTTGGGCTCCCAGACACTGCGTCCAGTGGAAAGGTGAAGGGTCACTCTGACAACCCCACCCCTTGACAGAATACTACTGTAAATAGCCAACGTGGACCCCAGATTCCTCCTTCGGCAAACCCTCCATGTAAGCAGAATTTCCCTCCCAATTAGTTCTGCACGGACTAGAATTTTCCCTCCTAGACTGAGTTTATGGGGAGAAACACTAAGTGCCCAGGTCCACGCTGGGCTGAGAAGAACAGGACACGCAAGTCTTAGATGTTACCATGTGTACGGGACAAGCCGGCCACAAAGTGGGATGGTAATGTTCCAGAGCAAGGGTGTAGACATTCCTTCCCTGGCAACCGAGGCCCATCACCAGTGACCGAGCAAACTCGCGTCACATCATGACGCAGTGCACCAGGCAGGGCACAAGGTCACCTCATTCTAATGACAAGAAAACACCAGGCAGGGACATTCTTCTACAAGGCAGCTGTTCAGTGGTCTTTGGGTGTCCAGGTCATGAAAGACACGGAAAGACTGAGGAGCTGTCACAGAGCGAAGGGACTGAGGGGACAGGGTGCACAGAGCTAGCTCCAGCACAAAAGTCAGACGAAAGACAGCTAAATTCTAGTGAGGTGTCTACTGTGCCCACGTCAGTTTCCTGTGTGACCACTGTGCCAGGCCGTGTGACATGAGCACCACAGGCGTGGGCGAAGTGCGTGTGGAAGGTGGGGGAGGTGGGGGAGGTGGAGGAGGTGGGGGGAGGTGGGGGAGGTGGGGGGAGGTGGGGGAGGTGGGGGAGGTGGGGGAGGTGTGGGAGATGGGGGAGGTGAAGGGTTGTGGGGGAGGTGAAGGGTTGTGGGGGAGGTGGAGGGAGGTTGTGGACAGCTCTGAGGACCTCGAGGATGAACGAGGAAGTAAAGAACCCATGGACAGGCGAGTTCCAGAAAAGAAAACAGACCACTTTGCAAACACAGGGCAGCTTCATTAAACCATGAGTTGCAGGGTAGACTGTGTCTGTGACACTAATGGCCAGTCGTGGGTGCTTTTCTACTGCTGGTAGGAGCGCACCTGGGGCGATTGGTTTGGGAGATCACTTGGCATCACCTCGTCCATTTGAAGATAAAGGTGCACATCCAGCGTGACCTGACAACTACATGCTGAAGTGCACATCCTAAAAACCTTGAACATGGGCTCCTGGAGACGAACCAGAAAGATCACAGCAGTTTTTAAAGTATAACGGGGGGGCCAGTGCACACCTGTAATCCCAGCTAAGTAGGAGGCAGCATTAGGAGGATCCAAGTCTGACGCTGGCCTGGGCAAGGGTGCGAGACCCTACGTGAAAAATCAAACTAAAGTAAAAAGGGTTGGTGGAGTGGCTCAAGTGGTAGAGTGCCTGCCTACCAAGTGCAAGGCCCTGAGTTCAAACCCCAGTGCCACCAAAAACCAAACAAACCACCCTTCCCAACTCAGAAGTACATCAACAAGAAGGGATGAATCTGAACATGCTCAGCATGGAACATTAGACAGCAATGGAAATGGAAGAACCACAGCTAGAGGAGAAGCACGGCAGGAGGAAACACACAGTACAGAACCTTTTCATGAAGTTTGAAGGCTGGTAAAATGCCAGAGAACGTTATTTAGAAGTAAATGGAAACTAGCACAAAGGCAGGCCACAGACTGAGGGGTCAGAAACCAGGATCCTGGGCACCCAGGGCAGTGGTGCATGGACTCATGCTCTGGGAGAGGCCAGACTTTCCCTTGTCCACCATCACTGTCCAGCTTTCCTGGCTGCAGGCCCCCGTCCTCACAAGCCTAAACCAGAAAGATGGCCGGTGTCTGGGAGCCTAAGGCCTTCCAGCGGAGGGCACAAGCCAGGACGCTCAATGCTGCCAGGGCTGTCTGGGGGCATCCAACTGGCCATCGGCCTCGGGCCACCTCCCGCTGTGGACAAGGCCCTCCACACACTCCCGCCACCCTGGCTGGGTCCTCCAAGACCCCTGTTCCTTGAGCAGAAGCACTGGGCTGGCCGAGTGGGCTGCGCCCCGTGTGTGCTTTGGTCCCAGGTCCAGCCTGCCGCACTTTGGCGCATTTTGAAGGACACGTCACTGAGGCCGGGGTAGCCGAGGCTCACTCACCAGCTGGAACTCGCTCCTGCGGCTGAAGGCCTCACGGATGCCCGAGTCCCTCCAGAGAGCGCTGAGCGCCGGCACGTACAGCTGGAACGTGGCGGGCTCCACTGGCAGCCCTGCCTTGTTCTCGAAGGCCATCAGGAACATCCCGTGCTTCTCGTTCTCAGAGTGCTGCCAGGGGATGCCAAGCTTGTCCCGCGCGTCCACCAGCACCCTGGAACCCTGAGGACACACAAGGGGAAGGAGGTGAGCCACACTGGACAGCTCCATCGACACCCACTGTCCTGGTAACACGCTGCAAGCTGTGGCATTTCAGCCAGTCTCTGCCTCATGGTGTGCTGTGTCCTGGCACCCACGCCTCAATTCCTTGGACCACCGTCTTATGGAGGGGTGTGCAACACCCAGGCTGCCTGGATGACAGGAAGTACGACACTCCAACTTCACTGGGGAGGAGCTGTGATCTAAGGACAGCCATGTGGACCGACGCTGCTACACTCAGGCACAGAGGACACACACAGAGAGGACAGAAGTGGCTGCAGCATGCTCATCTGTCTCTCTGGATGGCGTCTATTGTCCAGCCAGAGGACACCGGGCTGTCACCATGTATCTTTTCTTCTCCAAGAACAGCCTGGCTGTGACATGTCACCCTGGGTGGCTCCTGTCCAGCCCTGGCCTCATGCCCACAGCTTCCACTCCTACCTTGACCTACTGGGCTGAGCGTACCATGCCCGGCAAGTGGTCACAACCTCTTCTCCGGGCCTGGCTGACCAAGACTGTCTGGGTAGAGGCTGCTCTGAGCACCTGGACGGTGATGACAGCCACTTCCAACAACCCACAGACAACCACACCGCTGACAAGGACTCAGGACTAGAACATATCAAAGAGCACTCAGGATCAAACAATCCAGTTAGAAAATGAGCAAAGGACAAATCAGAGCAAAACCTTGGCTCACAAGACTTGCTCCAGCAGCTGAAATAGGCAGGTATGGTGGATCACACCTGTAATCCCAGGTACTCAAGAGATGGAGACTGGAAGATGGAGGTTCAAGATCAGTCTAGTCAAAAAAGTTAGTGAGACCCCCATCTCAACCAGTTCAAGCTGGGCATTGTGGTACATGCCTGTCATTCCTGCTACATGTATGTATAAATAGGATGGTCACCATTCAGGTTGGCCTGGGCATAAACGTGAAACCTTACAACCAAAGCAAAAAGGGCTGGGAGTGTGGCTCAAGTGGTAGAGCATGTTGCTAGCAAGCATGAAGCCCTGAGTTCGAATCCCAGTACTTCCCCATACCCCACACACACACAAAAAAAATGAAAAGCAGTGACAATGCCGAGCAGGGGGACAATGCTGGGAAACTGATTTGTCACACATTGCAGCAGGGGTGTAAATAGGTACAGCCACACTGGAAAATATTTGGCCATTTAAAAAAAAAAACTAAATGTACACTTATCACCCAACCTAGCAACCTCACTCCTGCATGTATCCCGCAGAATTGAAAATTTATGTCTCCACGAGAGCTCCATACAGTGCACTGTGTGTACAGGGCACTCACAGTGGCTTGATTCCTGCAGCTCCAAACTGGAACAAACTACGGAACATTTGTGATGTGGAATATTACTCAGCAATAAAAAGGAGGGACTGGGGCTGGGGGTGGGGCTCACTTGCCTCGCATGCAGGAGGCCCTGTGTTCTATCTTCAGCACTGAAAAAAAAGAAAGAAAGGAAAAAGAAAACCAAACAAGCAAACCTGGAATGAACTACTGGCAGGTGATGACCTGGATGGATCTTGAGGCTGTCATGTTAAATGAGAAAGTAACTCAGGAAGGTCACACACCATGCGACTGTTTTCATTAATGCTCTTGAAACGACTGTCCCAGAGACGGGCAGCACACGGTGGTTGCCTGGAGGTGGTGATGGGGAGGAAGGGGGTGAGCACAGAGGCCAGCTCGAGGTCTCCGTGGACTTGGCTCTAGTGGCCACACAGCCCCTCACAGCAAAAGGGCAGTGACCCCCCACGCCGTACAGCTGTCCATTCCTGGCTGTGCTACGACTCGGGGAGCTGGGCAAACCCTCGCCACAGGATCTCTGCAGCTTCGTGTGAAGTGGTGATGATTTAAAAGTCAAAAGGTCTGCAGGGTCCAACAGCATTCTTGGGGACCCATGTCCCAGACGTGGCGTGGCCAGGGAGGCGCCAGAGGACAAGAGACTGGCGGGAAAAGGTGGGGCCAGGTGAGTCCTGGCTGAGTCTCCAGAGAGCTTTCTGAAGTGGGCTTCAGGAACATGAGTTGCAGAGTGGGTCAGAGCCCACGCGGGGAAACTGGACCTGAGTCAACTCCCTGCTTCCCTCCATCACGCGCTCAGTGCGACGACTGCCCAGAGGCCACCCCCCACTTTCTAGGATCACACGGGCTCCTGCCTTCCCCAAGGAAAGCGGGGGACACACGAGGCCCAGTCACATTATGCACGACAGAAGCCATTCTGGCACCTGCAAGGTGGCACAGGTGTCTCTTGGCCCCTCCATCCCAGTCAGAAGGAAGGCCACCGCCACACAGGCTTGCAGCCCCAAGCCTGGCCAATGGGGCAGGCATAGGACCTCAACCTCTGCGAGGGTGGCCTCACTCACACCAAGGCCAAGGCAGGGGGCCAAACCAGGCTCAGAGACTGCTGGTCATTTAGGATGGCCTTCCACCCAGGCTTGGAGCACAGCCTGTAATCCCAGCGCTCGGGGCAGGCAGGAAGATCGAAAGTTAAAGGGCAGTCTGGACTACATAGAGAGACCCCATCTCAAACAGACTTTCCAACACTGGGTGAACCAGGCCAGGACTTCCCCAGTTACCAAGGCGTGGAACACACACACGCACACCCACACCCACCCACATATACACACACACACCACACACGTACACCCACCCACATACACACACCACACACACCCCCACATACACACACCACACACGTACACACACACACCACCCACACACACACCACACACGTACACCCACCCACATACACACATCACACACACACCCACATACACACCCACACCCCCCCACACCCACATACACACCCACACCACACCACACCACCCACCCACACACCACACCACACACGCACACATACACACACCACACCCACACCCACATATACACACGCCACACATACCCCCTCCCCACCCCTCCCCAACACCCTGGTCTGCCAGACATGCCTCAGCCGCTGACTGTGCCCTGGCACAAAGAAAAGACACTTACTTCTCTGTCAAAATTCCAGGGCAGGTGCCAAAATTGCGGATGAAGTTTGAATTACAACAGCTAGCCATCTTCTACAGCTTTTCCCTATCATTTGCAGGGGATAAAAAGCATCAAGAAAAAAGATCTTTCTTTTGCCCATTTAAATCATTCAAACCAAAAAACGGCTCCCTGCCAACTGTGCTTTGGGGAAGCTTTCCACTTTGGGATGTTGGCTGAAGTTCTGAGCCCTTTTTCTCCTACTTTTTAGAGACATGAACTCTCTCTGAGCTGCTGGTCTTCAGTCACACTGTCCTTTATGGCCGTGTGCAGAAGGGATGGAAGTTGGGAATGGCTCAAAAGATGCTGGTACAAGAGCTACTAATAAAACTTCTGGCACCTGTCCTTTCTAGTGAAAGACCAGTTTCTTAAAATGTGAAAGCTGAGAAAACCCTGAAACGCATAGAGAGGCCGGTGGAGTGGCTCAAGTGGTAAGAGCGCCTGCCTAGCAAGCGTGAGGCCTGAGTTCAAACTCCAGTGCCAACTCACCCAAAAAAAAGCCTACGGACTTAAAAGAAAGGCTAGAAGATGATGGAGGGACTGCGATCAGTAGTCTTAATCTTGTTGATAACTGTACATTTTATTAGTTGTCCAAATATAAATAAGTCTCAGGTGGCCTGATTGATTTATCTCAATGCAATGTGACACTTTAAACTGTTCAGAGCATTTGGCTTCTTTTGGCAGTACTGGAGGTTGAACCCAGGACTTCCTGCTTGTGAGGCAGGCACTCTACCACTTGAGCCACCCCTCCAGCCTTACTGCTCTGGTTATTGTGGAGGCAGGGTCTCACTTTTGCCCAGGCTGGCTGGACTCCTATCTCAGCCTCCCAAGTAGCTGGGATTACAGGAGAGAGTGACCAGTGCTTTCAAAGAGCATGTTCCAGACAACTTAAAAATCCAGCAATTTAAACTCCCCGTCAAAGAACAGATTCCCTGACTATTGGGGTTTAGATTTGGGAGTTTGGGGTTTTACTGGACAAGTACCAAAAACTGCAAATCCTGTGACCTTAGCTCCAAAGAGATTTAGTCAGTTCAGTCCCTGGTCAAAGCAGATCTTTTCAGGATGGAGTTCCTTACTACTCCTTCTGGAGTGAAGACAAGCCGACGTAGAAAGCTGGCACGGAGGAGTAGCTTCTTCCATGGGCTGGACCAGTCACGAGGTCACGCCTGCTTGGGGCTGAGCACTCCACATCGCATGCGTACTTGGAGGACTGTTTGCTTCTGGCCACCATCCAACTCAAAGAACGCCACCAGAAATGTAAACAGGATATGTTTCTGCAAGTCAGTGGATCCTGCAGGCCAGGACAGACAGCTGCCCTCTGCTCCTCGCTGGAGCTGTGGTGCAGAGCGCCTCTCCTTTACAGGTCAGTGAGAAGGAGCAGGAGGCAGACCCCAGCTCACAGTGGGGCTGTGCCCTCCATGACTCTTCATGGCTGCTTTCTGGACAAACACGGTGTCTGTGAAACACACTACCTCACAAGGAGAACCACCCACAGCACATGGAGGGCTGGGCTCAGGCAAAGGAAAGTGCAAGGTGACGGACAGAAAAGATCCAAGAGGTGCCAGCAGCAGGGCAGAGCAGGCAAATGTGTCACAGGCAGCAGACACAATACGGTGTCCAGAGGTAAATGCCACAATCGAAGGCCACAGTGAGGACCAGAAGTGCCACTGTGGGTGAGAGGAGCAGTTTATAGACAGGCTGAGGTGAGCTACGAAGTTTAGAGCTTCTCAGGGAAGAAACGGGGAATGTGGAAAAGGGGCACATGGCTAGAGTTTACCTCCAGAGGTGACACGGCTGCAAGAGACAGAGTGACCAAGGCAGGACGGCAACAGAGGGCAAGCCACAAAGCCAAGAGAAGCCAGCACAGTGGGGAGCAGAGAGGGGGACAAACTTGATTTACTGGGGCAGCGGGGAATCCCAGGTAAAGATGCCAAGA